GGGGGAAAGCCCTGGTGATCTGGTTCTCTAAAGATTGCAGCCAAGAAAACCCTATGGGGAAGTTGCCTCTATCACATGGGCTTACTATGACTTGGAACTGACTAGATGGTACCCAACAACAACAACAACAACAACAACAGTGTTCTAATATAAGCATCTATTTGTTAAAATCTGAACAACTGGTGAAGAACATTCCACTGCAAACTCCTTTTTAGTCAAGGGCCATTCCCTATATATCTTGTGTCCAACTAGATTACTCTACAGTGAAGCCAAAGCAGCAAGCCTCAGCCTTAGAAAGAGCTTCTGGTGGAGCTATATAGTGCTCCACTCTTAAATATAAGCTAGCCAGATCTTTGAGGAAAATATCTAATAAGTAATGTTGTTTTTCTAGCAAAACCAACCAACCAACCAACCAAACACACACACACAAACAAAAAATCAGGAAAGAGTAACTTGAAGAAAATAAAGTCTCTGCAGGAAGATGAAAAATACATAAAGAAACTACTATTAAATATATTTTTGTATATATAAACTACTATTAATACCCAGTGGGATCAGAGAAAATGTGGTTAGAAGAATAAGTTGAGGAATTATTACTTATAGCAAAGCAAAAGAGATAAAGGAAGAAAAGAGAAAAAGGGAAATTCAAGGACAATTTTAGAAGGTTAGGCATCTGGATTATAGGAGTCTCAGAAAGTGAGAACAGAGAAAATAGAGTAGACAAAATTAAAGAAATAAATCAAGACAAAGTTTAAACACTGAAGGACAAAAGTTCATATACAGAAAGAGTCCACAGAGTATCTGGCACAATGGATAAAAATAGAAAACACAACGGTGGGAATTTTCTCTGAAATTTATGAATTTGGGAGAAAGGGAAAAGTTTTGGGGGAAAATGGTTTAAAACAAAAAATCAAGAATTGTAATGACAAGAATGATAGTGACCCCAGAAAGTAGAACACAGTGAATTAATGCTTTCACTCTGAAGGAAAATAATTTACAACCCCAAATTCTATAACCAGTTAAATTGTTAATTATTTACAAGGCTAGTGTGAGGGTAAAATAAAGACATTTTCTGAAAAACAAGGTCTTTTAAAAATTACTTTCTATTAATTTCTACCCCCTCACCCCCAGGAAGCTCCTTGAGGGTATGTTCCTCCTAATAAAGGGAGTGAGCCAAGAAAGAGAAACAGAAGGGATCCACGAAATCGGGAATCCAACACAAACGGAGTTACCACGATGGTGGAGTAGTGCTCCTCAGATGAGACCTGAGCAGTAAACTTATAGAGAAGTGAGGCTAATTTAATGGATCACAAGGCTGAGAAAGAGAAAGGAGTCTCTGACGTCCAAGAACTGGCCAGGCACTATCCACTAGACCTTGGTGTTGCTAACAGCTGACCTAGGACTCACAGTGACAACTTAGTGTTCTCCTACTGAACATAATATCACAGATCATCACCACCAGACCTGGCCACTCTGTGACCATGACGGATCAACACAAAAACAAGATGGCTTCATAATCGTGTTTGAATACAGACAAAAACATGAACATTGTCCAAGCTAACCATACATTCCCTTCTCCCAATCAATATATGTCACTGCTGTTTCTTTACCAATTACAGGTTTAGTTTTTTCTCCTAGATAAGATTTATTAAAACATTCAATTATAGAATTACTTCTACTTTCTGATAACATTCAAATCCAGGACAAATTCCCATTTCCTTGAACTTTCCCCCAAAATATATAAACCAAGCCTAAATCCTATGAGAAGTCCTTTCTAATATTTTCTGCTGAGAGGCCCACAGTTTCCCCCATGGTGTGAATTCTCCCTCACTGTAATGAGTAATAAACATAACTTGTTTAACCATAGGTGTGTTCCTGGTGGTCTTTGGCTAGTGGGCACTGACAAGGTTCAAAAGAGATTTCTTCAAGAAGAATAACTGAATAGACTACCAAATGTGTTTGAACACACTGAGAGGAAATTTGTACAGCTCAAGGAGAGTATGGGGTTAAACAATGACAGGAATATAGAAAACTGCACAAATGAAAAAAACAGTATATTTATAAATTCTTGGGAACACAATATTTTATAACGTAAGACAAAGTAATTGCGTTATACAGCTCAGGTGTAACTAGTCTTTATATATTTGTAATAATGTAAACATCAAATTCTGATCTAACCCAAATTATAACATGATGATATTAAGTAGATGGAAGGGCAAAAATGTGTGCTTAAAAATACAGGCATATGAGCTAAACATTTACATTAGGTAGATACACCCCTTGGAGAGATCAATCATGGGAGAATAGAAGGGCTGTGTATGCACAGGAAGACAGCTCGAGGGGCAGAAGTGCATGGAGGGAAGGACACAGAGAAGAGGTAACTACGGGGAGGAAGTGGAAAGAGAGCTGTTGCATTGTGGGACATTGTAGTCAATGTCATGAGACAAAGTGTATGTGAACTGCTGTATGGAAAGTGAATTTGCTCTGTCAACTTTCACTCAAATCACAATAAAAATAAAAAATAATAAAAAAGAAGTGTGTGTTTAGTGAATGGAGGTCCAAAAGAAAGCTAAATTTTCACCTTTTATAGTGGGATATAAATAAATCAGGTCTAAAACCAAAAAATCAAGAAGTAGCGTTAGAAGCTACTTAATTTAAGGAATGAAGATGTAGCCTAATCAGCTGAAGAGCTGAAGATTATTGCCTTGGGGGCATGGCAATTAGGATGAGGGAGAAAGAAGACTCTTCTTTTTCCTTAAAAATCTTATGGTGTTACTTTACTCTTTATGTTCAGTATATATAAATAAAAATTAAATTAAATATTTACTAAAAGCAAAAATCATATTTAGTAGTTTAGATTTGATGAAGTAAATCTGTGGTATAATATCAAGGGAATTGGACTAGTAGTTTCTCCCAACTGAGATGGAAAATAAAAACAAAAACCAAAAAAGTTTGTGAGTACAATCTGAGAGAGTAAGATCAATTCCTAGTTACCTGAAACATTCATAACCCTAACCAATTTTTTTCACACCTTTGTCACAGGTTGGTCTATTGGTCGGGATATACCAGATTATGTTGCAGAATTAAGCAATCCCCAAATACCATAGCTCAAAAAAAAAAAAAAAAAAAAAAGAAAGAAAAAAGAAAGCTTATTTCTTGCTCTTCTAAAGACTGGTTGGTCAAGGAGACTTTCCAAGGCCATTAGTTCAACATTCCTGGCTGCTTCTATCTTAAGGCACCTCCATATCATCAAGTACTTCCATAATTGCCACAGCTGAAGGGAAAAGAGCTAGAGGATTTCACATTGACAATTAGGTGCTCCAGGCTGAAAGTAACATGTATCACTTATGCCACAAAGCCTTGGTCAGTGCTTCCTCTGGTAAGAAAGGAAGCAGTTGCTGAGATGAAGCACTCTGGCTGTACAGAAGCTTTCCTTATTCTCTTCAGTACTGCCATGGTCCATTACCTTATGAAAGTTCATGACCTCAGAAATCTGAACAGAAGTTTCCAATTGTGGAAACCATATGTCTCTAACCGTATATCTTTGCCTATACTTCTTCTTGTTGTTGTCAGGTGCTATCAAGTCATCTCTGACTCATAGCGACCCTATGCACAGTGACCCTATGAACGAAACACTGTCTGGTCCTATGCCAGCCTCACAATCCTTGCTATACCTGAGCCCATTGTTGCAGCCACTGTGGCAATCCATCTCATTGAGGGCCTTTCCCTTTTTCATTGACCCTCTACTTTACCAAGCATGATGTCCTTCTCCAGGGAATGGTTCCTTCTGACAACATGACCTAAGTAAGTGAGACGAAGTCTGGCCATTCTCAATTCCAAGGAGCATTCCAGTTGCACTTCTTTCAGGACAGATTTGTTAGTCCTTTTAGCAGTTCATGGTACTCTTAAGCATTCTTCTCTAACACCCCAACTCAAAAGCATTAACTCTTCTTCGGTTTTCCTTATTCATTGTTCAGCTCTCACATGCATAAGAAGTGATTGAAAATACCATGGTTTGGATCAGGGCACCTTAGTCCTCAAGGAGACATCCTTGCTCTTCATCACTTGAACGATGTCTTTTGCAGCAGATTTGCCCAATGCAACAGGTCATTTGATATCTTGACTGCTGGTTCCATTGGTGTTGATTGTAGAACTAAGTAATATGAAATCCTTGACAACTTCAATCTTTTCTTCCTCCATTGTGAAGCTGTTTATTGGACCACTTGTAAGGATTTTGTTTTCTTTGTACTGAGGTGTAATCCATACTGCAGACTGTAGTCTTTAATTTCATCAATAAGTGCTTCAAGTCATCCTCACTTTCAGCAAGCAAAGTTGTGTCATCCATGTATCGCAGGTTATTAACGAGTCTTCCTCCAATCCTGATGTCATGTTCTTCTTCATATAATCCAGCTTCTTGGATTATTTGCTCAGCATACAAATTGAGTAAGTATGGTGAAAGGATACAACAATGATTTTAAACCATGCAGTATCCCTTGTTTATGCTTAGTTACTACGAATCCTTACCTGTACTTAGATCTCCTTGCCATCTGGGCACATGGAAAAATTATACTTCCTTGCTCCCCTTGCAGTGGTGCATGTTCATAAGACTAGTTCTGACCTATGGATTGTGGGACACATGCCACTTTTGACCTGGATCATCTACTTGCCATGTTAGATCTGACTCTAAACTGTCAGAGATAGGTCCACTTGGATTTAGCCTGTAGTGAACCTCTAGCTCTTCCAGAACTAAATGGCCCAACTACTTCCCCTGGCCATGCTGGTGCTTGATCCAAACAATAATCTGGGACTAGCAAAAACTGGTGAAAAATATTATAGGATTATAGCCTCTAGAATAGGCTTGATGCATTTGAAAACTACTTTTTCTCTGTTTCGTTTCTTTACTTCTTTCTCCATGGGTAACATGTACAACTTTCTACCATACATTTACTTCACAGCACAGCACTGAGCTTAACAATTAGACAGTGGGGCACACTACCCACCTCTAATAGAAGCCTTTGATGCATTGCTTGAGTTTGAGTCAGCGCATCCCAAGACACTTTCAAAAGCAGCTCCATCTTTTTTAAATTTCGAAAATCTCGTTCTTTTTCTCTTTGCTTACGAGAAAGTTCATCATGGTAGTTCTGCTTATCAATCAGACGGTTTCGTAAATTGAGATCCAAGATGCCTCTATTTCAGGTGAAAGGGGAAAATTAAAGTGAATTGGCATCAGATGTCCTTCATATTTTTCATATACATACAGAAGTATTCTCATGTTAGAATTAAAAATCATAACAAATGCCAAAAGCAACTTTGTTTGTGACTTGGTATCATTTAGAGCCATGACAAACCAATAAAAACCCACTATCATCAAGAGGATTCCAACTCACAGTAACCCTATCAGACAGAGTAGAAGTGCCTTCTTGGGTTTCCAAGGCGGCAAATCTTTACAAAAGCAGACTGCCTCATCTTTCTCCTGTGGAGAGGCCTGGCAGGTTCAAAGGGCTGGCTTTTTGGTTAGCAGCCGAATGCTTTAACCACTGCATCACCAGAGCTCCTTCTTAGAGGCATAGTCTTATAAAAACCCTACATGTAATAGAAGCCCCAGATTTCCTGAAATTTTACTTAAAAACAGGAAGTAAAACCTTACCAGGGAACAGCACTCTAAAATTGCTCTCAATTAGGAAAAAATTATGATTGCCTGAAAAATCCATTCATTTGTTGAAAAGAAATCTCTGAACATCACACTCTAGTGATTTAAGTTTCTAGAGGCACACTTCAGACTCATACAAGATACAACAGATTGTGTCTTTAAGATGTCGTTGTTATGTGCTGTTGAGTCGAACCCAACTCTTAGTGACCCCTCCTTGGGTTTCTGAGGCAGTATCACCACAGAAGTAGATTGCCAAACCTTCCTTGCAAGGCACAAGGAATTGAGGGAAAAGATGAGTATAAAAGAAAAAAAACCTTGAAGTGTTTATTTAATAATATTTTAAAATTAATGGCAAAAATCTATCTAAAATTCTATATCCATGTTTATTGGATTAACATAAAACTATTTATCTGTTTTGAGTTCTCAAATATAAATCCAAGAAAAATTTAGATGACAGAACACAAGTAAATATAACCAACCTTTCAGTTAATGAAGTTGCTTCATTCTCTCTGGTTAATTCCAATAGTTTGACCAACTGGCTGTATTCTCGTTCCTTGACTTCAAGTAAGGCTCGTTTTCCTTCAACTTCTTTTATTACATCCTCTTTCTCTTCCATTATAGCATTAATTTTGGTTTCAACTTTCTTTAGGGAGTCATTGAGCTCCTTGACTTCACTTTCTAAGATAACTTTTTTCTTTTCCATTTCTCTGTGGAGAATATATATATATATATATATATATATATATAGTGCATGTGTATTTTTTCTCCAAATTTTAGGGGTCACAGTATTCACCATTTTGTTATATTACAAATGAAATGTCAGCCTTACTCTCAGCCCGTAGTCTCTTCACCTATTCATACATCCTGATCAGGTAGCAGAAGAGCTAGTTATAAATTCAGTGAGCCCAGGAGTAGGGTGAAGACCTCAGAAAATTGGACTTAGAAGGTCTCTCTACTGAGTGCCACTGAGGTCAGGTATTTGCCAATTCTCCCCTCTTCTCCCCATCCCCCTAACCCACCCTAATTGCTTCCATTTCCTGGGATTCCACCTTCATTTTACTAGTCTCCCAGAGCTGACCGGAATGTCTCAACTTTGATGCTGGTGGGTTTGGCTTTTAGAACCACTGCTAGAACATGCTCTTATTTTCCTCCTTCTTTTAAGATCATTTACCAAAGCGTTCATATTATTTCTTCAGAGTTCTTATACCTTCACTTATGTTTAGTTTTTTTTCAGTTCTAACACCTGAGAATTTCCTCAGTGCCCTCTGCATCCAAATCTACTTTGAATGATTAAGGGTGTTTTACATTTGAATAAGTGGCAAAATGAGGAGTTAATATCATTTGGGCTGTAGGTTGCTGGCTGGTTGACATCCAGATCATGAAAGACTTTTACACAATTCAAATAATTTATCCCTTGCAAAACTGTATTAAATTCAATAGGGATATCCCATAGAAATATGATTTATAAATTGGAAAAAGAATCTTGCCCCATACTTATGACATAAATAAGTGTTATGAATGATAATAATTTGCCACACCACTTTCTTTTAATGAATATACACAAACCTGACAAGGCAAAAAGCAGATATTTCTAAAATTATAATAGTAATTTGATGTGTTTTCAATAGAATTGGTTGTGTCCAGTGGCTAATTTTATTGTGGACACATAACTTGGGGAAGGTGAATTGGGAGGAATTTAAAGTAAAAATATTAAACCATACACTTTTTTGCGCGTAATTTTTTCTATCTCTTTTCCAATTTGTACAGGAATGGCTTGATGGTGGACCACGTCATCCTGGTAAAGAAACAGAATCATGTTAAATTATGTAGTTTTTGACCTGAACCTATTAAGACAATCAAATTAAATAGGATGGAGAAAAGAACCACATGTTTAACTCTTACTATATGCCCTGTACTATGAAGGGAACCTTAATTATTCCACTTAATAATCACAATGATTTTATCAGATAGTTATGGTATTTACCATTTTCAAGAGGAATGTAACAGATACTGTTGTTGTCCACCCAGATTCCCTTTACAAAGGCATGCCCATTACAAGTAGCACACCTTTAGGTTGATTTGATATTCCAACAATTCTTCCAGCTCTTTCTGCTCCTTTAGTAATTGTTTTTGCTTAGATGTCAAATCTTCCCGTAAGTTTTTAATTTCTATTTTTTTCTGCATTATTTCTTTACGTAATTCTTCAGTGCTTTCTTTCAATATTTTCATCTTCTTCTCCATCTCCTTCAAAAGCCATGGAAATTATCAGGTTATATAGAATCAGAGCAAACATTTATCTACTTAAAAACTGAATCAAATTTTCACCATTTTTATTATATTTGTTTTGATGTTTATAAATGTTCTCACAAAGTTCATAAATTTCTGGCATCTTCAGTAATGGCATGACAATGATAATGCATGCATTCAACACTATACATTACATTTGAATTCTTATTTTTCACCCATGCTTTTTTCTGTTATCCCATATTTTAAATGTTTACTTTTTCTGTTAAGTTTTTTTTCATACCAAAAATCACTAATGAAAATTCCCAATCTGTTTTCTAGTAGTTTTGTGATTTTATGAAATCAGATGCAAATTATCTTTGAATGTCTGGCTTATAGTTAATCTAAGTCCCACAGGGAATTAAAGATTAGGAAGTCCATATTTGGAAAACCCAACCCTTCTTTCTCCTTAATCCCCATTTTCTTATTAATGTTATTTCCCTAGACCATGCACATTCTCCTCAAATGCATTCCACCCCCAAACTCATAAAAGGTCTTTGTTTCCCAGATCTGATTATATGGGGAGTATTTGAATTATGGGAGAGATGGTTTCTTATACTCAAGAAGTCTACACATTACTAATGATTTGGTGGATGGATCCATTTAATCTGCTCTGGGCTTTTGCATGTCTCCCTCATTCCCTACTGCTGGGAAAGAGTGAAATTAGTGACCATGTGACCTGAAGTTAAAATTCAAAATGCTTTTTCTTATAAAATCTGTGGTGTAAATGGAGGTTAAGTGAATTTACATAGAATTTTTTATACTATGTTAAACAGTCTTTTGTGAGATGGCTTTGGAACTAAACCATCACCAGTACACTTTTGAAATATAACCATTCAGAAGATGGAGGCAGTGAAAACTGTGATGATCTATTTACTTAACGATTGTTGTTGTTGTTAGGTGCCATCAAGTCAATTTCCAATTAAAGCCATTCCATGGACAACAGAAAAAAATATTGTCCAGTCCTGTACCATCCTCACAATCATTGCTGTGTTTGAGCCCATTGTTGCAGCCATTGTTTCAATCCATCTCATTGAGGGTCTTCTTCTTTTTGGCTGACCTTCTACTTTACCAAGCATGATGTCCTTCCCCAGGGACTGGCCCCTTTTGATAACATGTCCAAAGTATGAGAGATGAAGTCCAGCTGTTCTCACTTCTAGAGCATTCTGGCTGTACTTCTTCCAAGAGAGCTTTGTTCATTCTTCTAGCAGTCCATGGTACATTCAGTATTCTTTGCCAACACCATAATTCAAATACATTAATTCTTCTTTAGTAGTCCTTATTTATTGTCCTGCTTTCACATACAAATGAGGGGACTGAAAATACCATGACCTGAGTCAGGTGCACTTTAGTCCTCAAAGTGACATCATTGCTCTTTAACACTTTAAAGAGGTCTTTTGCATTAGATTTGCCCAGGGCAATATGTCTTCTGATTTCTTGACTACTGCTTCCATTGGTGTTGATTGTGGATCCAAATAAAATGAAATCCCTGACAACTTCAATCTTTTATCCATTTATCATGATGTTGTTTATTGGTCCACTTGTGAGGATTTTTGTTTGCTTTAATTTGAGGTGTAATCCGTATAGAAGGCTATAGTCTTTGACCTTCATCTGTAAGGGCTTCAAGTCTTCTTTGGTTTCAGCAAGTAAGGTTGTGTCATCTGCACATTGCAGATTGTTAATAAGTCTTCCTCCAATCCTGGTGCTCTGTTCTTCATATAGTTTAGTTTCTTGAATTATTTGCTCAGCCTATAGATTGAATAAGTATGTGATCTTTATGACAGATCACAAAAAATTGCCACAAATTCACCTTATTCCTGTATGCATGCCACTTTGCAATATGACTTTGTTACTCTTCCCATTAAGAGGCGGGGCTATTTCTCTATGCCTTGAATCTACACTTGGCCATGTGACCTACTTTGACTAATGGGATACTAACAAAAAATGAAGTGTGTTGGAGTTTTTTTTTTTCTCTTCTTTGTTGGGAACTCTTCTGCTATCATTTTAATAAACCCAGGCTAGCCTGCTGGATGATGAGAGACATGTGGCCTTCAGCCCAGTTGACATCTGGTCACCCCAGTTGAAATCTCCAGACATGTGAGTGAACCCCCTTAGACCAGCTAGCCTGCCAAGTGGATGACATAAGAATGAAGCTATCTTAGACCACTCAGCTCCAACTGATCCAGCTTAGACCAGACAAATTCAGGACCATGAAGAGTAACAAATGGTTGTTGTTTTAAGCCACTAAGTTTTGGGGTGGCTTGTTATGCAGCAAGAGATAATTTTTCTAAAAGGGACCAGATTTGCTGGTCTGATAGAGCCTCATGGAACCACTGAGACTATGGCCCCTGGCTGCCCTTCAGGTCTGGAACTGAACCCACTCCTGTGGTTTCCAGCCAAACAAAAGACAGGAATACAAGCTGAACATTCACATTAGGTAGATACACTCCTTGGAGAGATCAATCATGGGAGAATAGAAGGGCTATGTATGCACAGGGAGACAGCTGGGGGAGGGGTGGGCAGGAGTGCATGGGAGGAAAGGACACAGGGAAGAGGTAACTATGGGGAGGAAGTGGGAGGGGAGCTGTTGCATTGTGGGAAATTGCAGTCAATGTTATAAGCCAAAGTGTATATGAGCTGCTGTATGGAAAGTGAATTTGCTCTGTAAACTTTCACCCAAATAACAATAAAAGTTAAAAAAAAAAAAAAAAAAAGATAAATTTTCTTCATATAAATTTCTTGAAATAAGCTTGAGATGGTCAGGAAGCTAGGAAGGTAACTTTAGAAAATATGCTTACGTGCCAACCACACAATCCTTTTTTTTTTTTTTTTTTTTCTGGAAACAAAGCAGATATTGTCCAAGTGAACATAGCCTGAACTACACACCAAATAGCTGAAGTCTATAATTGTTTTTGTTGTTATGTGCCATTGAATCGGCCCCGACTCATAGCAACCCTTCCTTAGGTTTCCTAGGCAGTATCACTACAGAAGTAGGATTACCCACCCTTCCTTCTGAGGTGTGGCTGGTGGGTTTGAACTGCCAGCCTTCTGGTTAGCAGTCAAGTGCCTTAGGCACTGTGCTACTTATGTTTACCCCAAGAGTCTCTGGGTGGTACAAACAGTTAAATGCTTGACTATGAGCAAAGGCTGGCTGTTGAAACCCACCCAGAGGTACCTTGGAACACAGGCCTGGTGATCTGCTTCTCAAAGCTCACAGCCTTGAAAACCTTATGGAGCACAGCTGTACTCTGCGCATGTGACTAATGGGATACTAATGATGATCAGAATCAACTTTGTGGCAACTCACAACAACAACATTTATTTAAGTTTGCAGATACTCCTTTCAGCATTACCCACAGTTAAGACTTTTGGATCTTTCAAGTGTTTGAGGGTATGAATTGTTGTGAAAAAACATTAATATTTATAACAATGGATGTTTCAATGCAGGTGTATTTAACAAATGATAAATCCTTTGAGACTTACTCCTGGCTTAGGTATCTTCTCAAATTCCTTTAATATGAGGCTTTTTTCCTCCTTTAAGCTTAAAAGAAAAAAAAAGAGACAGAGGGGGAAAAAATCAAGTTTGAACAAAGTACACAAGAGTCAGGTGTGCAGTAACAACTTCCTATTCCCTTTTCACAGAATGTGCTTCCCATGCTTGTCGGCCAGGCAGCCCGGTGCTTGTGCTGTGTGTGGCTTTCCTGGCTCCCACAAGCCATTCAGGCGCTCCCCCTCCTCAGTGCTCCCACACAACTGTGCACACCCCCCACAGGAGCCAGTATCTCACTGCTCTGACTTTGGGGCATGGGCCTCCCCATTAGACTCACACTCCTTCCAGGAAGGTTTCTTACGTAAAGAAAGCTTTAACCATTTTTGTTTCTCTGTATTTAATGTCTTTTTCCCCTGATTGTTCCTAAGATATTTCTCTTCATCATTGATTTCAAAAATTTTGTTGTGATGATTCTCAGTGAGGTTTTCTTCAGGTTTTTTCTGTTTGGGCTTTATCTTCCTTGATCTGTCAATTTCTACTTTGTGTCAGATTGGGAAAACTTCTCTCTAGGTTTTTTTTTTCCCCCAAAAATGCATTTTTTTCCCTGCCCCCACGTTTCAGTGACTACAATTACCCATACGTTAGAAAAATTAATGTTGTTTGACAGCTCTCTGATACTCTGCTAATTTTTTTTTTTTCCTCTCTGTCTTTTGTTTTGGCTAGTTTCTATTGCTATATTGTCAAGTTGGCTAATCTTTTCTGCTGTAGATTCTAATTTGCTATTAACCCCATCTAGTGTTGTTTTCATTTCCAATATTATGTTATTTTTCCCCTAGAAGTTCAAGTTAAGTCTTTTTTAATAGCTCCTATTTTTTCCTTTGTCATGATTGTATTTTTCTCTAGCTTACTTATGAATATATTGATAATGAATGGAGAGATGTGCCATGCTCATGGCTTGGCATATCTCCCCAAATTGATCTATAGGTTCAGTGCAATTCCAATAAAAATTCTAGCACTCTTTTTTTTTCTAATTTGATACAGTGACATGTTTTTTTCTAGAATTTAGAAAATGAAAAGGATGTATAATAGCCAAAACAACTTTGAAAAAGAAGAATAAGGATGGAGGACTTATACTAAACTATTTTAAGACTTACTATAAAGCTATAGTAATCAAGAGACTCCAATATTGGTGAAGGGGTAGAGAAACAGACCAATGAAACATAATAGACTATTCAGAAATAGTCTGACATATTTGGATCTACAAAGCTGCCAAGGCAGTTAACTGAGGAAAAGATCATCTTTCCAACAAGGGGTACTTAAACAATATTCACATGCAAAAAAATGAATATCTATTTTTACCTCACACAAAATACAAAAACTAACTCAAAATGGATCATACTGTTAAATATAAGAGCCAAGCCTATAAAACATCTGGAAGACAACGTAGAAAATTCTTGTGACTGTGATTTAGGCAAAGATATCTTAAATAGGACACATAAAATATGAACAAAAGATAAAATGGATAAACTGGTCTTCATCAAAGTTAAAAATTTTTGCTTATAAAAAGGCACTGCTAAGAAAATGTAACCAATGGGAAAAATTAATCAAAAAACATGCATCTGATTAAAAAAAAAAAAAACCATTTGTTTAAATTATATAATTATCTGGCAACTCAAAATAAAGAAGAGAAATAACCCAATTTAAAAAAAATGGGTAAAAAAAAATTGAACAACTTTACCAAAGATGCTATCGAGTAGGAAAGTGATGTGATCTGGTTTACATTTTAAAAACTATCACTGTGGTATTGTGTGGAAAGTTGACTTTAGGGGTCAGGGTAGAGGCAAACAAGATGAGAGATCAGTTGGGAGACTATTGCAGTAATCTAGGCAGACACTAGTCTATTGCAATGGACTTGAGCTAGAATGAAAGGACTTCTCCTAGAGCTATCCCTGTCCATGTTTATGTCCAATTGTGGGTTTCAAGCTGTGATGCATTCAGGTCAAGGAGTACCAGTAGGGGAAACATGGTAAGTTCACTGTCAGTTCTTTCCCAATCTGCCTCCTACTATTTATTTTTTGTATTCCTCAAATATAAGCTCCATTCGGTCTGTCTAGTTTTATAGTTGTCTTCAGTGGAGGAGACAGAATGAGTGTAGTTACTCCATCTTATCTAGAATCAGACCCTTTAGAACATGTTTAAGACCACAGGACTGGATGAGATCACTGTAGGAGAAATTATAGATAGGAATAGGAGAAGGGCTGAGGACTGATCCTAGGTCCAAGACTTAGAAATTCAAAGGATGAGAGGAAACTAGCACATGAACAAAGCCCCCAAAACAACAGTAGCAACAACGAACAAAATAAACAAGGAAGGAGGGAAGGGAGGAAAGAAGAAGGAAGCAAGGAATTAAGAGACGGAGTTCCCAATGAGAAAGAAGGAAAAGCAGTAGACAACAATATCACCCACCACTTGTCTGTCAGTTTGTCATACTGTGGTGGCTTGTGTGTTGCTGTGATGCTGGAAGCTATGCCACCAGTATTTCAAATCCCAGCAGGTTCCCCCATGGTGGGCAGGTTTCATCAGAGCTTCCAGACTAAGACAGACTAGGAAGAAGGACAGGAGCTCCAGTAGTGTAGTGCCTATGGTATTTGGCTGCTAAACAGAAGGCTGGCAGTTCAAACACCAGCCACTCCTTGGAAGGAAGGTTGGGAAATCTACTTCCGTAGTGATACTGCCTCGGAAACCCAAGGAGGGGTAGCTATGAGTCGGGTCTGACTCAACGGCACATAACAACAACACCAACAGGAAGAAAGACATCGCCAAGTTCACTTCTGAAAGAACTGGCCACTGAAAACCTTATGAATAGCAGGGGAACATTGTCTGTATAGTGCTGGAAGATGGGCCCCTCAGGTTGGAAGGCACTCAAAGTGCAACTGGGGAAGAGCTACCTCCTCAAAGTAGAGTCAACCATTAAGACATGGATAGAATGAAGCTTTCACGACCTTCAATTGCTGATATGGGCTGACTCAAAGTGAGAAGAAACAGCTGCAAACATCCATTACTTATTGGAATGTGGAATGCATGAAGTATGACTGCAGGAAAATAGGAAGTTGTCAGAAATGAAATGGAACACATAAAGGTCAATATCCTAGACATTAGTAAGCTGAAATAGACTATGGTATTGGACATTCTGAATCAGGCAATCATATGGTCTACTATGCCAGAAATGACAAATTGAAGAAGAGTGGCATTGTACTCATTGTCAAAAAGAACATTTCAAGATCTATCCTGAAATATGATGCTGTCATAGGATAATACCCATGTGTCTACAAGGAAGACTCTCAATACAATTATTATTCAAATTTATGCACCAACCACTAAAGCCAAAGATGAAGAAATTGAGGGTTTTGACCAACTTCTGCAGTCTGAAATTGACCAAACATGTAATCAGGATGTACTGATAATTACTGGTGATTGGAATGAAAAAATTGGAAACAAAGAAGAAGCATCTAAAAACACCAAACCAAACTCACCACCATTGAGTCAATTCCGACTCATAGTGACCAGTCCTTGGGTTTCTGAAGAGGTATCTCTTTGGAAGTAGATTAGCTAATCTTCCTTCTGAGGAGTCGCTGGTGGGTTTGAACCATCAGCCTTCTGATTAGCAGTCAAATGCCTTAGGCACTACCCCACCAGAGCTCCCACCAGTAGTTGGAAAATATAGCCTTGGTGATAGAAATGATGCTGGAGATTGCATGACAGAATTTTGCAAGACCAACGACTTATTCATTGCAAATACTTTTTTAAACAGCATAAACAGTGACTATACATGTGGATACCACCAGATGGAATACACAGGAATCAGATTGACTATATGTATGGAACGAAATGATAGAGAAGTTAAATATCATCAATCATAACAATGCCAGGAACTGACCGCAGAACTGATCAATTTCTCTTACGCAAGTTTAAGTTGAAGCTGAAGAAAATTAAAACAAGCTCATGAGAGCCAAAATACAATCTTAAGTATATCCCACCTGAATTTAGAGACCCTCTGAAGAATACATTTGATACATTGAACACCAATGACCAAAGACCAGACGAGTTGTGGGATGACATCAGGACATCATTCCTGAAGAAAGAAAAAGGTCATTAAAAAGACAGAAAAGGAGAAAAGC